CGGGCCCAGCCTCTGGCCGGCCGTGACCATGAACGCCAGCGGGGAAGGAAGAATGAACAGTCAGCTGCCTTGGCTGCCAGAAACTCTATGGGCCAATCAACGCTTCGATCCTCAGCCCTTTCTGGACTTCCTGGAGGGCCGCCTAGGGGGGTCTCTGGGGTGGCTACTGAACTTGAGGCTGTGTAGGCTCTCAATTCCCAGCTTGCTGCTTCCCGCTTGCAGCTGCCTGGGCAAGAGGAATCGTGCGTGGCGGCACACCTGTGAGTGGATGATCGCCTGGGCGGGCAGCAGACTCCAGAGGACTGGGGACCAGGAGGCCATTCTAGCAACCCACCCTCCAGGAAGCTGAGCGTCGCCTTGTCGGCAACTGGGTCTACCAAACGTCTGCATCTGCCCAGGTGTGTCCAGGCCAGGAGAATCCAGATCCAAGATGACTTCGGGCCTTACGGTTCAGTCCTTTCTCCCAAACTGCACTTTTCCTTGGTCTACCCACTTCCTCCAGCCCAGCCAGAGCGATCCCGACTCCCTCCTCTCTCTCTGCTGGTCCTCCACTCTTGCTCCCTCCTCCCAGACTCAGAGTTTGGGGAGCCTTGGTTCCACTGTCCCTATTCTGGACTGCTCCTGCAGGCAAGAAGACTTAAGACTCGGAAGGGAAGTGGAGTGAGGGGGCGTCTGGGCAGCCGCTCCTCCAGATCCTCAGCGGGAGGCGCCGAGCACCAGTCCCGTCTCAAATAAACCAGCCTCTCCGCAGCACCTCAGCCTTCGCTGCCTTTGCCACCCGCCAGCGAGGGCTTCGCTCTTTCTGGCTGGGTTTCTTTCCTTCTCTCTGGGACCTGGCAGGGTCTGCTGGGGGTGTGTGGGAGGGAACCACAAACAAAACAGACAAGAGGACGTCCAGGGAGGGCCTGCCAGAGAAGTCTGGCGTTCTAAGCGGGGACTATGTCCCAGTCGGTGCCCCCTCTTGCTCTCGGTCAGGGACAGGCTCAGTTTGGGGCTGGCGTCCGTGTCCCACCCCCTAAAAGAAGGAGAGAGCTTGCTCCCTCAACAGAAGTCTTTTCTTTTTCATTCTCCGGTTCTGAAACCAAATCTTGACCTGCTGGTCACTAAGATTCAAGCGGTCTGAGAGTTCCCTCCGGCGCTGGCGGGTGATGAACTCGTTGACCAGAAACTCGCCCTCCAGCTCTGCCAGCTGCAACTTCGAATAGGGCTTGCGCTTCTTCCGAGAGCGGCTGTGGATCGGGTACCAGGGCGCGCCTGGGTAGAGATGAACCGTATGGTTGGCCAGACGATCAGGGGGTGACCATCCCCGTGCCCTCGGCCCTTCCCCAGACCCTTTTACCTTGGCCTCTGACTGGGACCCCAGGCCCTTTCTCTCCCTCCTTGCAGCCAGGCATCCCAATAGCCTCCTCTCCCAGGCCCCCATCCCCACCAGCTCCCCCATCTTCACCCTTTCTTTTTCCCTTCCACTCCTTGCTCTTGCCTCCTCAACCCCCTCCCCTCTGCAGTTTCTATGACCCTTCTGTGTTTCTGTCTCCTCACTTCTCCCTAAACCTCTGCCCTATCTTCTTCATCCCTATTTCCCAGCCCCTTCTTCCCACAACATCCCGGAGTGGATCCCAGATCAGTTGAGACAGACATGGGCGAGTGGTGGGGTAAACCCTGGCCACTGGCGCTTCTTAAAATAATAGAAAATGTATGTAGGTAATGCCCGCCTTTGGTAAGGCTGTGGAGAGATGCGGGACCAGGTCATCTGTCCCCACCTCCTCAGCCCCGGACCTGAGGAAGTCCCCTTCAGATCTCAGTTCTTTGGAGCTCGCTGCCCCCCTTCCAGCACTGGGCAGACGGAAAAGGAAATCTCTCCAGTTCTTTTATGGGGATATTTACATGTTTATAGGCCCCCCCTCCCTCGCACTTCTTTTTAAAAGAAGCTCTTCCTCACCACGCACTCTGTCACCCCAGGCGGCCCTAGCTCAGTCCTACTCTGCCCATCCTGGTAAGCTGTCCTGTCTGATCACACCGCACGAGTGGGCCGGGGTCCTTACCGCTGGCCGAGAGCCCGCCGCCCGGATTCAGCGGCGATACCAAGTTGCTGGGGTCGCCGCTGCCGGCGCTCTTGTTAGGGACGAACTGGAGTCGGATTCCAGCGACTGGCACGAGGGCGGGTCGTGCGGGGGTCCCGCGCCGCCACCGTCGCCGCCCGCCGCGTAGTCGTACTTGAAGCCCAGCGCGGGCGGCCCCGACGGCTCCAGCGGCAGAAGCGCCGCGCCGGGGCC